ATTTAGAAATGACCCCAGAGACGGGAGCTCAGAAACTCAATCACCACTCCTGATCCACAGACCGTTTACTCTCCCCAAGATGTCCTCTCTACTCTCCCGGTGAATGCTATTTCACAGGCCAAGGGAATCCTGGAGTTTAGCTTCACTGCCATTCATTTCCTTTTTCAATTTCTACATATGAAAAGTCACCATGGCAGCTCCCATTAACAACGGCTTAAAAATCCACTGATCACTGCAAAGAATTTCATGGTGCCTTTCATGGGAAAACTCTTCTATTACTCCCATCAAGTAGCTACCAATTATCATCCCCATTTACGAAAACAGAATAAGTATAAATGAAGCAGATAAGTGTTTTTTACCAACATCAGTGATAGAAACAGGAAACAAACTCGATTTTCTAAATTTCATTAGGGTATGTAATACAAAGACAATGGTTCTCAACAATTTCTTTCAAGTATTTCTTGCAATTTCTCAGGACAGATGCTGTACAGGAAATGGACTAATAAGAAGTACAAACGACTGGAACAGCAGCAGTTGGGGTGCTGGCTGAGGTGGGGGTGGTCACTACTCTATGAAATACTATAGATGGTTTATCCGGTCTTCAAATTTAAGCTGGTATTATACTATTCTGGACTCCAATATCCTCATTTCTTCTAAAGTCCTAAAAACAAAAAAAATCAGTATTTATGATTAAACTATCCTTTTAACACTTCATTTTTTCCCCAGTAGTGTGTAAAAAAACAATTAGCAAGGGAGGAACTAGGAACTCCGATTCGCTGGGAGCTCTCAGAGACTCTACCATTAGAAGTGGTTTTCCAACCATCTCTCCTGGTGAAATGAACAGAGTTTACATCCTTCAGAAGGTGCTAGAGGAAGACGCGGTTAGAGAAGTGCCCAACTTGCTTTAGCTCAATCTCCTTGAGGGAGGAAGAAGCCCCTCACGTTTTCAGGCTTCAGCTGCTGAAGGACAGAGCTTATCCATGGGTAATTTGCTAGAAAAATGAGGATTTTGGCATCTCAATCTCCAGTGCATCACAAACTTCCTGCTATTATCTAATAACCCCCCCACCCAACTCAGCCATCACTGTTTCCACGGTAACCGACAAAAAAATAGCAGGCTGCCAAATGGCTTTTGTAGTTCTTTTCCCAGCTTGGTTTTCAGTATAGAATTAAAGCTGGCTGGGAAAAGAACCAGACTAATCTTTACAACAGGGACACGATGCAGTTCGAAAAGTGCAACCGGGTTCGGGACAAGGAGTGTAGAAAAGCTTTAAAAAGCCCAGCTTGGTAGAATAAAAAAAGTTCTTGGTTTCTAAAAAATGTCTATTGAGGTATATTTGGTAAATTCTACTTCTGTCTTAAGATAGTATATCCTGACACTGGCCAGAAGACAGATGTGGTGCTATTCGCCCGGTCTTTAAAGTGAATTAACAAAAGAAGGGATGGGGTGACTGGAAGAGCAAGATCAGGCAAATCTACTCTGCCCTCAAGTACCTTATTATCATTAAAGGAAACAGTAATTTAAAATCCAAATGAATGAGGAGCTGACAGACTTGGACTAAAAGACAGTGAAAAAGGACTGTCAACTTGGAGGAGTGAAATGTTTCGTCCTAGGGAGGATGCACGCACAAAGCTGAATGAGCCAACTGCATGAATCAGAGGGCCACTGATGCTTAGGAAACAAAGACCTCCTCACCATCTCAGCACAGGGAGAAACTGTTAGGAATGCGATGTGTGGAACTGGGGCAGCTTTCAGAAGATCAGCAGCTACAGAGATCTGCTTAAGGTGCCAGACCAAAACAAACAGCTGCTGCAGGGGTGGAGGGTTTGAATGTTTAAAAAAAAAAAAAAAAAAGACATATAATTCTCTTTGAAAGTGGCCCAAAACAGACAATTTTCTGTCTCAAAACTGCATATGTGAATGAAGTGCAGGAACTGTCATGATTCTTCCGTCAGTTTCAGATGAGAATCTTGGACTCAAGTCAAACAGGTATTAGCTTGTTTTCTGATACGTTAAAACCAACTGGATTTTGAAAGATTCCCTCTCACAACTTCTCACACACTCTGAATGTCTTGGTGACAGGAAAATTACAATCTATAATGACATACTGAGACAGGTCTCTAGGAGTTATAGAAAATCAGACTCCTACAAATGCCACATAGAAGACTAATCACATTAACACTTTTTAATTTATACTTTACTTTGGGTTATATGAATCATGAGTCATGTTCTCAGAGCTATCATCAGAGTTAGAAAGAAAAGTAGACATGGATTCCCAATAACTCTTTTTTTTCACTCCTTCAGAAAAGGGATCACTGTAATAAGATGAAGATGAGGAGTTCTAAGCTACATTTCAAGGCGTCAACTCAAAGGCAGGCTTCTGCACTTCTAATTTACCTAGATTTGCGGAGCTCCAGATTTTTATCTGTTAACCAAACTTGAAGAAGTCTTTCAAAAAGTTTAAACTTGGGTCCTCTTTACCTAAGAATAGAACTTATAGGTTTGGGGAAAAAAAATTCATTTTTAAACTGCATTCACTTATCAGTGATTATAATTTCAAATATATTAACATTCAATTTCCCCATCTTAAACAAAAGCCACAATTGAAAGAATATACAATGGCATCAAATTCAATCATAGTTAAAACTATGCAGGAAGCCAAAACTTATTAGAATCAAGAACCTGAGGCATTTATATTTCTGACACATTTATATTTCTTCCTCAATCTGTTTCCTCAACATTGTTTCAAGATTACAGACAAATTGTCTTACTTATTAGATCTGTATTTTTATCAAATCAGCTACCATAGTTATTGTTCACATTCTCTTGCTACTGGCAGACAATTAAAGGGATTTTACCACATTTTTAGTGTTTTATAGCCTGTGTTCTCACTCATGCATGTTCATCAAAACAGACTCCAAGAAGCTTAAAGAAGATAAAGCTTCAGTATGAGCAGCTTCCCTCTTAAACAGACTTTGTTGCAAATGGTTGCCCTGAGAAACAGTGCTATGTGATAGTTATATTCTCCGTCCACACATTAACCTATAACATAACTGAAGCATATTACCAAGAAACAGCTCTTGATCATCATGAATAATGTTCTTATATGAAAAAATGAAGACCTTCCGCTTCCTGGAGGGGTAAAGGAACGGGGTACTCTGGGCACCGGAACGTTGGTAATGCTTAATATCAGTTGGAAACTGCTTATACAGTTAAACTAATTATCCAGAAAGCATGCTTTGAGAATTCTTAAGCTTCAAATCTATAAATAGGTCAAAAATGTTTTTTAAAAGGGGGTGGCGGTGAATGTATGTGCAACAGTAACTAAACACTTAAATACTTGGCAAGGACTGGAGACTAGGATTATAGTAAAGATTACACTAGACATTATACAGCTTGTTTGCCAGTCAGAGGAGGAAAGGGTGGCTCCAGGAGGAAGCACAGCACAAACACGTGCCAGGTCAGGAGCTCCAGGAGGGGAAAGATGACTCCGCTTTACTCATTCATTGCTATCGCCCCAGTTCCCAGGACCACAGCTAGCAAATAGCTGGTGTTCCATGTCTGGTTTGAGAAGAGGGTTTGAACTTAAAAATGAGACATGGTGTTTCTCTGCTATTCATATAATAGCAGTCTTACTAAGGGAAGGATGAATTCTTCACATGTGCGAACCTGGAATGTAACCAAGTAGAAGCCTGCGGATTTAAAGCATAACCAAACCTAAAAGGAGTATGGCAAAGGTTGGGTAGTCTGCTTCGCAAGTGGGAGTCCCTGGTGTGCGAGAAGGCTGATTGCCAGTGGAACCGTGACGGCTGCTCAAAGTGCTTAGGGAGCAGGTTCCCTCGTTAACTCACTGGCAGCTGAGAATCCCATGCTAACACAGACCAAAGTTTCTGCGTTAACATAGCAAAGAAAAACTAAATCAAGGGAAATTAAATTAACAAACAGTGCTTACTGGCATAAATGCAAGATAACATATTATGTTTCAAAATACCACACTTGGAAACCCAAATATATGTCAAGAAAACAGCCCGGTCCATTAACGACTTTCTCAGAGAAGTATATTTGATGAAGAACAGACATAAGCACCGAGGGACTAATAATTATGTGGCTGGATTAAGTCACACTCAGGACACAGCCTTGCAGGCCTTCCTCACTGACGCGGTCTGGTTTAATGTCATAAACCAAATGACTGGGAACCTTGGTTAGAAAAAGACACAAACCCTGGAAAAAAGATAATTTGGTAGAGGTTTACTTTTTTCTTAGAGTTCCTACTATCTTTCTATCTTAGTCCTAAGTTTCTGCATTTTTTGATTTAAAACATTAACAGCCTTGTACCCTCAAATGTCATGTCATATAAGAGCTGGGACAGAGAACTGACATTGCAGTCAGTGTAGTCAGTGCTTCTCTGCCTGACCTTGGACAGACCACCACCTCTGATAATCTGGCTTGAGTTTTCTTTCTCTGTTATAATTACAGAATTCATCAGTATTCCAGAAGGCTATGAAGGCAGTGAGGATGCGTGTGATGCTCCCTCACAGCAAAGTGACGACGTCACCATGAAGAACACATCAAGTCTTCTTCAAGAGCATCTTTCTTGAGGCTCCCTCATTTCCCTTCTCGCCCCCACTAGCTTGGGCCATCCCTTTATAAGTCTTCCTTCATAGCGTTTCTCCTAATTGTAATTACTTGAGTAAGTGGCACTATCTCTACCTCTTGCCTCCGTGAGGATAGAGACTGTGTCTGCCCTTTCCACCAATGACAATGAGGCCCCAGCACCTGACACATGGCAGGCCATGTCTCTTAGATAAGTAAATGAATGAATGGGCACATTGGAAGTCAAAAGTTAACCATCGGGTAAGCAATCAGTGCAAAATGTTTCATCAACAAAACACATACTCCTATCCTCTAAATCTGAAAATAGGAGCTCTACATTTTTCACAGAATAACAGGAGGCAGGAAGATGATAAAAATTTTTTAAAATGTCAGAGAGAATACTTACTGGTGGGGGCTTCTTTCTCATCTCAAAAGTACGTGTGGCACCAAAACTGAGTGAAGCAATGATGGGGTGCCTCCCTAGCGAGGGTTCGTCATCACTATGCCAGTCCACGCTGTCCTTCTCATTCCGGTAAAGATTGCACAGCAAGGAGTTGAAAGTGTGGCCAGTGTTCTGTTCAATTTGGTTCTTTAGTGTGCGCAGCACTGGATGCCACTGCAATCGACAGGCCAAGGAAAGGGGCAGAGAGAGTTCGCATCAGACACCGGTGGCAGCCGCACGGGAAAACACAGAGCACAAAATCAAACTGTAAACAGGAGCGTGGAATAAGCAAACCACTTGGAATGCGATAACCGGAAGGCAAGAAAGATAATGTAATTCCCTCCCATGATTTCTGTTTTGAAGCAAGTTGACCTGTGCAATTTTATTAAGGTATTAAATTTGGTGTAACAATGCCATGAGGAACAGGCCTATCTACCCATCTCATCCTTTCCATGTTGGATACATGATGCTCGAAAAGAAACAACTGTCAATATATTCAGGCAATGACCTTGGTAGGTCAATAAGGTGGTAAGTAGAGCAGTGAGTCTGGTTTGCTACTACCACAGCTGACAAGGCTGCCAGGTAGTTAGCAGATACAGACTAAAGTCTGAGGAGTGAAACAACTTTCCTGCTGGGTGGCCTTCTGTTCATTCTACTATTTTTTTGTGAATAGAAGAGCTGCTTTTTTAAAACAAGATATTTCCTATTTCCAGAGTGGCTAGCTTCCTAAACACAGAACCTAAAGATGAAAAATATTTGTTTCTACAGAATGGAATCACGACGTGGCCCTGATGAGTGCACGGTCTGTGAACTACAAAAGATTTAAACATCTCCCAGCCCTGCCTCCTGAACCCCAAGTTCAGTCATGTAGTTTATATTTTGGAACTCATTGTCTTGCCACATATACTACAGGAAGCTGTGACCCCTGACCTCTGTACTTTGGAGCTACAATAAGCATGGCTTATACCTGTTCCTGTTAGAATTCTAAGTCTTTCCTCCAAGAAAGCTCAAGTGCTTTACAGAGCTCCTTTTAGGACAGTGGTTCTCAAACTTTACACTATTAAAACCTATTGGGGACCCCGCAGAACTTCTTTTATATAGGTTACACCTATGATATTTACTCAATTAAAAATTAAAACTGAAAAAAGGTAACATATTAGTTAATTTATTTAAAAAATAACAAGCCCATTACATGTTAAAATATTATTTTATGAAGAGCAACTATATTTTCCCATATGAAAAACTGGTAAGAAGAGCAGCACCGCTTTGCAAATCTCTTTAATGTCTGGCTTAATGGAAGACAGCTGACTGTCATATCTGCTTCTGCTTTCAATCTGTTACAATGTGTTGTTTTTGTTGAAGTATATGAAGAAAATTGCCTTCACACAGATATATAGTTAGGAAAAAAAGGAGTCTTTGATAGCCTTTCAAAAAATTACAGATATTCTTTGATATTATACCGAAACTCAACAAGTACTGATTTTTCAAAGATTAGTTACAGTGTGGAATCTGAAACCATATCAACAAACGTTCCATAGCCTGTTACATTGAAATCTACTGGTCCAGCTTGCACAATGAATGGATCTTTTAATCCTGCATGATTCTATAACATCAAGCACTGGTCATTTGGAAAATATTGGTTCCCTGTGTTATACAGATCTTCTGTTGACACATTTCATTATATGATATCGAAAACTCATATCCATTAATATTACCACTGATCTCATCAGAAAAGGCTGAGAAATGGGAAGAGGTCAGGCTCAACATGGCGGTTACGAGTTTTTCTAATTTTTGCTTGAAAACTGAGCCTTTATCATTAGCAATAAATCCTGTCCATTGTTTTCTTCGGAGTGATACTCACTTCATTCATTTATGAGAAAATGTCTGCCAAATACTCAAGTCTGACTGACTACAGTCTGCCTGCCAGTTGTTCTTCCAAGTAAAAATGGCCCATGAATAAAAGTAGCTAGTTTAGTTTACGGCTTAAGCAATTACGCAAGTGTTTTTTCCTTGACAGTATCATAATTAGTTTGTAGGAGTGCTTTATACATACTCTCTAGTTCCTCAAACAAATTATTAAAAAGACATGTGCTCAAAGATCGAGATTTAATAAAACTAATATTTACTCCTTCATTGAAGGGCATTCTTAAAAGAAACCAGTATTTTTTTTTTAAACTGGAAGTGCACGGTGGTGAAGAATGTAATGGTTACTAGTACAGTTCGGAAACGATGCCTTGATTTAAACTAAGTTTGATCCACCATCACTTTTGTACCATCAGTGTAAATTCGACACAGTAAAAGGGTCATCCAGTATTAGCATAAAAATAGTCTGACCTCGTGGACTCCCAAAAAGGATTTCGTGGACTCTCTCCAAGGCCCACAGATTATACTTTAAGAACTGCTTCATTAGAGAACCCCGTCAAGTCCACATTCTACATTTGGCAGTGAAGGAACGGACGTTCGGCAAAGGAAAGAGTAATGTTACGTATACCCCATGGCTACTGGCAGGTACAACTGCCGGGGAAGCGCACGTGGGATTCACTCAGCTTTGCTGTGATGGAGAAACCATGGTAAAAGCTGGGCTTCCTTGCTACGGATATTAGTGTTAGATTCTACCCAGAGGATTATAAAAAATAAACGGCATTGAGAACAAACAAAACTTTGATCAATAAAATAGAAATATTATTAAGCAACCTATTGAAGAGAATGAATTTCAAAGTGAAATTCCATAATAATGTCAGTGCGCTGCATTTCCTTATTTTACGGCTTTAAGCTTAACTTCACGGAGATACAGATCAGATGCTAGAATTATACTTTTAACAAGAAAAACAAGAATGTAAAGGAAGAAGAGAGCTTTTCTGAATTGTGGCTGAGAAGCTAATTAGCACTTCCTGACTCGCTTAGGGGCTGAGCACTGTGATAACACCAAGTTTGCATGATGTTTCTAAGTGGGTATATATTTTTCTCTTGGCTATTTTTGGTGGTGAAGTAAGAAGAAAAAAGGGGATAGCGAACTAGAGGATTAATTTAGACTCTCCAACCAATACTCTATATACAGATCCCTCAGAACTGAATGTCTAATTTAAAATTCAGCGTCATCTCGCTGTTTAGTGAAGACATTCTATCCTTAAAAGACATTTGAGGAAAAGAGTGTGAGGAAATATGAATCACAGAAGTAAAAGGACCCATTCAGTGGATTTCAAACAGCGTTTTGTAGTCACCGGTACCACAGAGCTGTCTCTGGAATTACCGTAGGAGAAAGGGGAGGTCAAATTGGTTGGACTCCCAGCCAGTCAAGGCACTCTGCTATTTTTATTTATTGGGTTCATATAAGACTTAGTTTGACAAAGACTAAGACAACCTACGACTGACTCTGCTCCTGAGCTTTGAGATATTAAGCTTGAGGTAATAACTTCAAAATTAAACAAGTACCCTCAACCCACATGTATATACATTAGTGAATTCCCCTTGAAAAATCTGAGAAAGGGGCATCTCTTTTGATTTTGTTCAAGATGGCACATAAATAAACTAAATCTATAGCAATAAATACAAAGTTGTCAGCTAGTCAAATTCAAATTAAAGAATTCTAATTTGACAACTTTAATCTCCAACAAAGGAGGCTTGCTTGAATAAATTATGGTACACGTCAATTATGGAATACTATGGTGCCGTAAGAGAATATTTAATGATACTAAAACACATTAATGATACAGTTAAATGAAATGTAGTAAACATAATTTACTTTATTTTATTCTCTACATATATTTGCCTAAAATGGAAAAAAAAGACTGGAACCAAAACATCATGTGGAAGAATTATGCAAAACTTTAGTATTCTCCATGCTTATCTGCAGTTTCTAAATTTTCAATATAAACATACAGTACTTACATTATAATATAAGGACTGTTATTAAAACAAATACTTTTGAAGAGTTGTCAAAATGTCCCCGACTATAAAAGGCCACTCTACCCAGCCGATCTTAACTGCCTATGTTTATTATATAGCAACAGTTTTCAACCAGGGGCAATTTTTGCCCTCTAGCAGATGTTTGGCAGTGTCTAGAGTCATTTTTGTTTGCCATAAGTGAGGAGGGTTTCTGGCATCTAGTGGGTCGAAGTCATGGATGCTGCTAAACATCCTACAGAGCACAGGACATCTCCAACAACAAAGAATTATCCAGCTCAAAATGTCATTAATACTAAGGTTGAGAAATCCTGTTCTAAAAGATAAACTAGAATAAATGAGAAAGAATTTCTTCCCCATAGCCTGTTTAATCCTCAGCTTCTCTGCTATGGCTGTTGACATGAAGGTAAATTAATCCTGACAGAAACATGGCGAGCAATCTATGCTGGACTGGCTGAATTCAATTCCCTTCATGTTTCCCAATCGACCTCAAATATAAGGGTCTCAACACTTCCCTGGATCACATTCTAAACGCAGCCCTAGAAACCAGAGCATTCAGCTCTCTCCATATGTGAAAAAGCCATGTACTCCTGCCCCAGTCTCAGTCAATATTTTATTCCTGAACATTTTAGTAAAGTGGTAGTTTATGAGTACGAACTATCAGAAGCTCTAAAACGTGTCACATTTCTGTTTATCCCAGTGCTGTAAGCAAAACTCCACTTTCTTCAAAGTCTCTTTCCATAAAGTATAACATTACTTGTCAAAGACAAGATTCCAGGGACTAAGCAGGGAGCTATTTCTTGGATCTTGATTCCATCCTCTGGACAAGCTTAATTTGTACACTAGAATCTCTTTTGTCTACTGTCATGGAAATTTTTTTAAATGAAAGCAGTAGAAACAAGCCAAAGTAATGATAAGCTGGAAAGCTGAGACGTACAGCCATAGAATAAATACAAAGTCAAAAAGAAAAATGCCAAATTTTTTCACAAACGGCCAAAGAGTCAGAGAAATGAAAAGAGACATTTTGATCTTACTGGCAAGTCATAAAGACTTGGCCCCACAGCAAATGTGTAGTGGGTGTACACAGAAGGGCTACAGGCAGAAGAGTTTGGGAAAGGGGCAGACTAGGAGAAGAAATGGTTCATTTTCCTGAAATCCTAGAGTCTGGTTCCAGTTTACTTTAGTTTCAGTTTTTTCCTCATCTTCAGAGTTCATCTATGGATCAAAAGCACAAAGACTCAGTGTTTGAACCCAGAAAATTTTCTAAACTAGGAAACATCATGGAGCTCTGTAAGGTGTTTTACTGTTATTTTATAGTACTCTATAATGTACAGTCTGTAAAAACATATAATAGTACAACGTTCCAACATACGTGAGGATTTGGTTCCATAGTGATTCTTGAATAAGTGTAAGGAAGTTCTCCATACCATGCTGTGAGTCTTGGCTGCTGGTAAGTTACATCTAAGAAAAAAAATACAGGGCCTTTGAAATGGTTTCATGCTATTTAAGGTGCACCTACTGAGTGCCAACCTCTATGCCTTGCAATGTGCAAAAAGCTATGAGAAATACAAAGGAAGAGTAAGGGTGGGCTCTGACCCGAGACTCCACCTTCATCGAGGACACAGGATTTCAGGAGTAAAATGGGTAAGGGCTAAAAGGAAGAAAAGAGAAAGTACATTGGCAGAAACAGTATGAGCAAAGGCTCTGAGGTGACAATGTGTGACTCATTTGTGTCAGTGATGACATAAACGAGCGAAGGAGTCACACTGTATAACAGTATTGTTCAGAGAGGGAGGGTCTGAAAAACAGGATATGGAGTCTGAACCCTTGTAGGTGGGGAACTGTGGCACAATGTCCGTACAAGAAACAGGACAAACTTTACCCATGTGCCATTACTGCATAAGCCCTTTTGATCCTGAATGAAGAAAAACATGCCAGAACCACCACAGCATGTAGCTGATTTTAGTCAGAAGTCTTTATGTCCAATCTATTTAGAGAGGGAGTTATCTATAGATCTGCTATTTTCCCACGACTGATACCAAATACTACAACAATAAGAACAATAATAAGAAAAGCAGCTAACACTCATTGACAGCTATGTGCCAGGCATTCTGTTAAGTACTTATCATGTACTATCTCATTTAATTATCACAACAACCTTATAAGGTAGGTATTATTATTAGCTCCATTTTACAGATCAGAAAACTAAGGACTGGAAAATTACTGTAATTTGCTTAAAATTAACAATTACTTCGAATAACAGAGTCAGTAATCAAAGCCAAGTCTGTCACCAAAAGCCCTGCTAAGAACTGCTGGGATTTAGGAGGAAAAGCTGACTCCTATCCTGATGTCTGAGTCACAAAAATGAAGCCAGTATCCTTTATCTCTTTCTTTACAGAAAATTTAAATTCATTTAATGTGCCAGAAAGGAATTGTATGCTAGAGCACAGACGCCCCCGAGTGGCCACCTCTGGAATAGCAGGTACTGTTGCTTGTGGATGCCCACAGAGGAGCGGGTTCCAAGTCAGACAATCTTCATAAATTCAGGAGAGTACAGATGCTGAAGCTACAGAAAACTGAACTCTTCTAGTAAAACTAAAAAGAGACTAAAAAGCCAGCAGGAAGGATCACAAAAGAACATATGCCAAATAGAATCAGAAAAAAGCTAGCTCTGGAAGTTTCTATGAAGAAAGAGGAAAGCTGGCACCATTTGAATAAAGGTCGTGAACAAATGCAAAGGGAGATAAGTATGCCAGCCAGAGTTCAGCCGAACCAAACTTCCTGTGGTTCCTTGAACTCCCACCCCAGACTCCTGCCATGTTCTGAGAACCAGCTGTTATTTCTTCTGTCCACTCTGACTGGCTAATTCCTACTCAGCCTTAGGGGGGCTCAGTTAGGTTTTGCATCTCTATTTAAGACTGGTGTAGTGACAAGAGGCAATACTATTAGAAACATTCCAGAAAGGGAGACAAGGAGGCAACCACTGCAAATCTCAGAGACCTACTTACCACCCCGGATGCCGGTCCTCTGCTTCCAGGGAATATCCCGAAAGAGCTGTTCTAATACACGGTCGGCTTCTTTTAAGTCAACAAAGCCAGGATACAAACACACCCTTGATGCAGAAAGAACCATTATTAACTAAAGAACACAGAAAAGATGGGTAATGGACTCTGTTAGCTGAATAAATTAATCTGGATGATGCTTCCTTTCGTAGGTAGATGAAATCATCTTACCACACCTCCCATAGCAACCAGAGCCTAATGTCACCCAGCTCATGATGCTCCAGATGTAAAATAAACTTGTTTCATGTTAAGAGAAATAAAAGACGCATGAAGGATAAAGGGATGTATGAGGGCTCTTATAAACATGGTTCAAATATTGCTCCAGCACTGCTTAACTGTGAAACCTTGGGCAAGTCACTCAACCTCTCTGAAACTTGGCTTTTCTCATCTGTAACATGAAGTTGATATCCACTTCATAGGGTCACTGTGAAAAGCAGAATAACTAATAAATTGCCTGGCCCTGTGTTATTTTAACAATTGTTAGTCTTCTGAGACTATGCCAATTTTAGAAAAAACAATCATTTAAGATTGTATCAAAATAAAAATATACAAATGAGGGTTTTTTCTCTCATTGAATATGCACTTATTTCAACAATGCCAAGTCGGCTCAAGATCGTTTTGGATATCCTTCTTAAGAAATATTCTGAAAGTCCTTGGAAGATTCTCTTGAATTTACTCTTTGAAGATGAATTTCATTTTTTTTTTTTTCAAAGAGCCAAAGCTCACCTGAAGCCATACCTGGATAACAGTGAGATGCTACCAAATAATGCAACTGGCTTTCTTGTGTGACTGTTAAACTTGCTTTGAAAGGGAGGGTCCAAAAAGGGTTCTAAAGACGGCTCTGCCACTGGACTAATTACAGAGACTTCTTCTAAGCAATTCATTTAGATATGTAAGTTTTGATATGTCTGTTTTAACTGTCTTATTATTTTATAGTGACAGTTAGTACAGTCATGCACTAAGGTGATGCTTTTGAATTTTTTTTTTTAATTCCCCCACTTTCACCCCTGACCTATGAATGTTACTGTCTCCCCTTAAGAACTGGATCTCTGAAGGCGGGGCGTCTCCTCCCATGTGCTCCCTGAGCACACCCAGGGGGCCTGGCACACCGTGGGGCCTGGCGTGCCTGGGGTATGTGCCGTGGCTCTGCTGGGGCTCGAACCCAGGATCTTTTGCGTGTAAAGCAGATGTGCTAACCACTGCTCTATGAAACCACCCCTGAAATGTTTTTAAAGCAATGACTAATGTCGCTTACCTAGATATGCCTGTAGGTGACAAGCTGATTTCATATACACCCTCTTTGCTAAAAAAAAAAAAAAGACTTGTTAGCATCAAGCAAAACAATACACTCCAGCCAGTGGAAGGGCTCCCTTTGGAGTTCCCAAAGCCCTGGCTCACCAAAGCCATTTCACAATGAGGGCACACTGTGGGGGAAGCATGGCCCCATCTCCTTCTACCACTAATGGGCAAGGTGGTGGTACATCATTAATGGCATTGGGAATAGAAGCCTGACAGGATCAGACCACAGAGATAAGGGATATAATAAAATAAATTCTCATCTACCCCTTTTATAGTTCACTCATAATTTAGGCAGCTATAATCTAGGAATCTGTCACACAAAGGGGTGCCAAATAGAACACTGGAATAGCTAAGTGAATTTGAATTTCTATTTTATATATAAAGAGAAACGGTAAGTCATTTCCAAGAGGGGCAACTCAAACCAACCACATAATCACCGGTGGATTTGTTTCCTAACAAAATCATGCCCATTCTGATAAAGTCAAGGGCGGAAAAGAAAGGGGGATGCCAGGGAACCCTGCTAATTCCTCTCTGTGATTTAACTTTCTATGCGTCATTTATTTCTCGTAAGAAGTCTCTATCGGAAACTGGAATAGCGATGCATTTAATAGGTAGAAAGTACACCTCAGGGCTCTGAGTGTCTGTTGCTTTCAGATATATGATGTCGAATGAGGTTCCTCCTCTGATGAAAGTCCTTCAAAAGCTCTTCACCAACTTTTTAGCATCGCATTTAAGGTCCCCATGATCTAGCTCCACCTCCTGACAGCTCCTGACTCATCATCCTCCAGCAATGATTACCGCTTGCAATCTCCTGAATAAACCACTGTTTCTAATCCTGTGCATTTCTACACACTAGAATTCCTTCCCACCACCCAGCATCCCCCAGCTGACACACCTCAGCTTTTGGTCCAACGGAAAATTCTAATTCATCCTTCAAAATCTCAGCTCAGCATTACCTTCTATAAACCTTTCCTGACCTTTAATTTACCCAAACGTTAGCATCTCATCCTCTGTGCTACCACCAGACCTTACACACAAACCTACTGTTTCACAATATACAGGATTACAATTTACCTGATTACATATCTATTTCATTTACCATACTGTGGGCTACTGAGGGGCAAGGAATGGATTATTATTCTGTCTCCCAGTGTCTAGCACGTAGAAGATGAGCAATAAAAGCTTATTGAATTTAAGCAAATGTGCAAAGGTACAAAACTATTACATATGTACAGGGTGACGAAGTTCATGGTGAGAAAAGTGACCCAGACTGGTTAGGTGCCTCTATCAAGATAACCGTGTCGGATCTTTCTCAGATAGGAATGAGTTACAGAGGATAATATAAAGGAACAGTTTTCACACCATTCTCTGCCACATGGGTTAGTAGTTCACAGTCTCCAAGCTGGGCTCTTAGGTAGATGTCTTTGCCCCTCTGAACCAAAATGTAAGCAGAGCTATTGTCATATATATTTATCACATTCCTAAATGAGTTGCCAATGAAGTTTCCCAGAGCGTGAACATAATGTTTCAAAATTATAAATTTAGGGCTACATTTAGATAGTAGCTCACTTCCAATGTGGGCCACCTTTCTGGCTATTAAAAAAAAAATCTAGCATAGCTAACTTTAGATAACCAGAATTAACAAACCCTAGGATCAAGTAGGAATGAATTCTGTCATTTTGCTCTGACTTGCAAACTCATAATTGCCCATTAATTTTCAGCCTGAATGTCCCATCTATGCCTTGTAACAAGTTTCACAGTTTTGTGTATTCTCTATCATCAGTGGAGGCAATATCGCGTTGGTATTTGTAAAACAATCAAAGACTGTTAGAGCTACTAGACTGGGCTCTAACCCTTAAGTTCAAACCCTTAATATTATAGTCAAGGTAACTAAAGTCCAAAAAGATGGCAACAACTTCCCTAAGGACTAGTTAGGTAGCTAACTAAGCAGCAAGGCCACGACAACATACGCTTTCTGAAAGTATGACATTTGTGTCACTTTCGCATTTTTCTGCAAGGTACACATCAACGTGCAAACAGTCAAACAGCTTAACAGACTGCTCATGAACAATTTAACATGTTATGCTAAACTGCTCAAATAAAAAGATGCTTTCTATTGACAATTCATCTACATTAGATAGAAACTGAAAAGCAGGAAAAGAGGAGTCGAAGTATCTTTCATCCATTATTGAAAAGACCATTTTAGACACAGATCAATATAAGAGGAATGTTTACTATCATTTAATTGCTCTGAAACAATTATGTGGTTTTAAGAAATAGACTGTTAGATCATCTAAATTTCTAGCAGCTTTCATAAGCATTGCTAGGAAAATGGTACCTAAAAGCTCTCAAAGAGCTATGTTTCAATGACTCAGAAAAAATCCCCGTCTTTACTGAGGAGATATTTTAGCTTACTGTCTGCATATATATTAGTGAAACAGGGTCAGGAAATCTACACCAGGCTCAAGAGTTTAACGTCCAGATATCTTGTTGCCTTTTCCATACCATCAGCAAATTCAGAAAGGCTTCTCAAAAGACCAAGTTTAAAGACATCTGAGATAGGAATATCATAGCCTAAAATTAAGACACTAATTGGGCTGTTATCTCTTCCAGATGGGAAAAATCAGGGTGAAGGAAAGATCCAGGGCTCTCCATTTCATCGTAGGCAAGAGTTACAGGAAGGCAGCAAATTACTTACTCGATCACTCGTGGTTCTGGGGCTCTGCGTACTACCTGCAAGGAAACAAGCAGATCTTACTCTTGGAATGGTTCTTCATCTTCAGGACAGCTGACTTGCAAGATTACCATATGCTCTCATTTCTGGTCAAAATAAATCAGATTTCAAACTATCCCTTTTTTCTTGTTAGCTCTTACTATCCCACCAGAAACTCCTGTTTCTGCTCTTCTTAGAACTACTTAACAGTTACTAGTGGGCATTAAAAGATGATGAAATTAGAACTAATCCATCTTCCTAACAGCCAGCAGCTCTGGAAAAACCTTTCTAGATTTTTAAAAATAGAAGACATACTATTTAGTAAGTAAGAGGTTTTAATCATTATTTATAAAATTATTATTATAGCATGATGGCTGATTTTTAGCTTTTCCCACATTATTAAGAACAGTAAATCTTCACTTTCTTACGTTTTTCACCACAGAAAAAGGGCTAAAAAATCAGGCATTGTAGAAGCTGAAACTTCAATCCAAATTCCAGAGGCATTTGCTACACTAGCACTGAAGATAGTAAGGTTTTAGGACTGATAGAACTTGGATAACCAAGGCAAGCTCTAGTCATGGTATCACCTTTACCCTCTAGTCATAATGCAGTCTCCATGCCAAAAAATGGGAATTACTGGAGGCAAACTATGAAGAGTCCTCAAACATACTCAGGAACTGTTACTCTACATTTGATTACTATTACAATCCTTTAACTCTCCTTTTACTAGTGAGTTTATTCAGTCACTATTTGATTATCTACCAAAAGAATATCGCTTTTATATACAAATTTTCATTACTACTGAAAGAGAAACCAGAATTTACCTGCTGGGGTTCTTTGAACACAAACTGTTTGTCTGACAGATGATGCTCCTTATTTGTCCAGGAGTGACCAGGCCTCTGGTGGAGAAGGCTCTTAGCACTGGTAGCTGAAGCAAGAGAGAGAACAGACTCAAATCAGGGACAAGGCTGGTATCATCACCTTCTATGAGCAAGGACCAATGAAATCCACTTGGATATGACTTCTATGACATCTAGAAATTAATTAGTAGTCTATCAAAGACCTCAACACATAGAAAGGTTTGAGCATAGTAACTAAATATGAGGACCATTAAATATCAACCCTTAGCTCAATGTCAAGAAAAACAGAAAAAATACCAGCCGCATTTAAAATAATTCTTTAACATCAATTTAAAGCGATATAAATAAAAGAGAATGATAATTGTCCACATTCAAGTGCATGCTCATGCGAGATCCCCATAAGTTCTTGCCTGGCTGAGCAACAACCTGGCTCTTCACAGAGCCAGCCCAGGCTCCCTGCACTCGGGCTCGCCGTCTTTTGTCCTCCATGTTGACCAAAAAGGCTTCTGCTCTTAGCTTTCAGAAGACTTCATTCCTGATTCAAACCAGACAATGGTATCTGTTTAAAAAAAAGAGATGCTTTTAGTTGGGGTTGTGTACAAAGTTGTACGACTAAGGGGTAATTATAATCCTTTCAGGCAGAAGAGGTGGCTCAGTAGCAATCAGAGCTTCTACATAAAATCAACTTCTGTCATCACAACATCTCAACCAACGGGTCTACTAAGTCACTACTAAAGCCAGGGCTGCTGGCTTGAAGGTTTACCTTTTGCAATCTTATCATAGTACTTTCACTTCGTTCACAAGAAAGTGTGCATTAAGAAATTCTAAAAATCAAGATTATAAACCACGTTACTCTTATTAGTTCCCAAGAGCAGAACATAATGGAAACGAATAACCGGCCTATGTGGACACTGAGAAATAGGCTGAGACTCAGTTTCCAAGCATATTTCCATATCCCATGATCACTGGCTGCATCAAACTGCCCTGGAAGCTTGTTAAAAACACCCATGCGCTGTCTCAGAAGACCTGATGTAGGCCGGACACAGGTGTCTGTAACAAGCGTTGTAAGCGATGGTGATAAGCAGGTATGTACGAGGACCACGAGGTTAAGTGGCTCACCCAAAATCACTCAGGAAATCAACAGTAGGTAGATTAACATTCAAATTTCATAAAGTTCCAGTCTTCAGCTAATTGAAAAATCCACCTCATAATGGCCAGTAATACTAATTTTTATTTATTTATTTATTGCTAAAATTTTAGTTTACAGCAACTACAGGAGCATGCGCAATTACAAAACAATAACGGGGAGGTCCGTCGAGCCCGTGGTTTGAACCTATGGTCCATTTTTCTATGAGTCTATTAAGTTTCACATCACAGGTTCTCAAAGGTTATAAGCTTATTTTACAGCTTGTTTAGCCTCCCAATTCCCGGGCCCCACCCCCACACCTGCTGATTCAGTAGAGCTGGGCTGGGCCCAGGAATCCGTATGTTTAACAACTTTCCCCAGGTAATAAGTGTGTAATTCTTCTCATTTGATGGGTGGGGAGATGATGGAGGCTGCTGTCTGCCCCAAGAGTTAATAGCAGAATCAAATACCAACTCTCCAGTCACACACGACGTGTAGAAGAAACCCTCGTTTGACATTTCTCTCAACTGAGGTCTTAAAAGTGTAAGACGACAATTAACTAGAGTCCTTGCTGTGTTCACAGGGGAGCAATATATGTCAGGAGACGGTTGTTGAAAATACAGATTCCAGAGCCCCATCCCAGACCTACTGAATTTGTGGAATTCCAGAAACTTTAACTAACGGAACGGAATCCACCTTGGGATTCTCTACCCAGACAACGCTTGATACCCGCGCTGCAGTGCAAAGAGCAAAGGCTCTGGCGTCAGACAGGACTCACTTTGAATCCGGATCGGTCACTTTCCAGCTGCATGACCTGTGGCAAATGACTTCACCTGTCTGAACTTCAGTTTCTTCCTCGGTAAACAGGGAGCCAATGCCTCTCTCACGGTTGAACTGCAGATCAAACGATCCTCCTAGGTGAAAGAGCCTGGTCCTCAACAAGGGTTAGCAACTTTTCCCTATTTTAGTTCATTTTCTTCTAGGAGGCTTGGAATGAGGTTTCGGAGGTCGCCTGCGAAGGGACCTGAGAGGCAGTAGTCCCCACTCCCCCAGCCCCAGACACGTAGCGGCAAGCCGGCAGGCCGCACCTGCCCGCGGAGCGGGACGCGCATTCAAAACCGCTCTGCCCTAGGAAGCACCCCACGGACTCAGACTTCCCCTGCTGCCTGAGGTCCCGGGAACCTTAAGAGTGAGGCACCGGCTCCAGCAGCTCCCAATCACAGGCTGCGGCGTCAGGCACTTCCTCTTACGCCACGCGCCGCCGCCGCAGCGGCTTCCGGCATCATCTCCTGGAGTCCGGCCGGCTTCGCGTCCCCAGCTGTTCGAGGGCCACGTTGCTGAAGGTGCCAGAGGCAGGGCCGGGGTAGGAGGGGAACAAAGGGATTGAGGGTTAGGTGGAACCCCATGAGGAGCCGGAATATGGCGAAGGTGGGACTGAAGATGTGTTTCCTAGGCCGAGGTCCCTCTGGATATCACCTCCCACACACAACTGGAGACATCCAAGCGCAAGCATGGGATAGGGAGTTGGGGAACCAGGTACTAGGCAAAAAGATTTGAATTTTATATTGAAAGCCATGAAGAGTTTAGGATGCACGTCCTCTGTGTTCTCATTGCAGGCTGTGCATACCTCGATCCATAGCACTTGCAAGAGGGCGTGGGTCCACGCCTTATTCTTCATGGCTCTCCAGTGCCAAGCAAATTTTGCTTGAGTGAACTGAACAGACCTAAGTTTCAGTCCAGACGCCGCCGTTTACTATGTATATAATCTAGAGCAAGTACTCTGCTTCTTTATAAAACGGGCATATCTCTTGTTAGGAGGATTAAATGAGATAGTGTATGTAAAGAATTTAGCACGATTCTCTAGAACACAATAGAAAATAAATGTTAAGAGAAGTGTCCTCTCTTCAGCTCATCTGAGTTCTTGAGAAAGCTTTAAAGTGACCATGTTAAACCATGTATCTTACACTGTGAAAATAGCAAAAGTAGCACTGAATTAACTATTTTGTGCAAGTTATTCTTCAAGATCTATCTACCATAGCATAGTCACTGTGAAAGTCTTTAAAATAAGCATTGTATTATTTACTGTTTACCTGCCGGAAGCTCAGTGTTCCCCATCAGCGTACCTATATTGTTGCTACTATCAAATCTAATTTTCACAGCATCCTTTATTCTTTATTATACTGTGTGACATTGAAAGAAAAATGATTTATCTTAGAACTGAAAAGAGAAAAGTGGTAAGGCCAGACTACAATTTTTATCCACCCCCACCCCAACAACTAGTAATTTGTCAGTGTCTGCTTCTGACTCAGGAACCTTGGCTGTATGTTACAAAAGATGCAATTCCTTTGTTTTCCCCAATGATTATTGTCTTTGGAACAGGAACAGAGAAACCTGGACTGAGGAGTCCCTAAAAGTAGTGATTAACGCCTCCAAGTAGAACTCTTGTCAAAAATCAATCCATGGCCCACTTGTATCCAAAATAATCGCATTTTTAACAGAATCACTTTTATTTTTACCAAGTGCCCAAGGTGATTCTGATACACAGAACATCTGAAAACCTTTCAGACACATGAGGGTGTCAAATTGTACTGGTTTGTCTGGGACTGAGGAGTTTCCCAAGATGCAGGCCTTTTAAGTGCTAAAGCCAGGACAATCCTGGGCCAACTTGCTCATCCTAGATACATGTGAGTGTATAATAGTAGAAAGGTGACCTTGATGTGGCTTGGCATCCTGAGTTTCCTCATATCTTCTTGCAGGATTTGTGTTCTTATTGGGGCTGGGAGGGTGGGGTGGAGACCATGGAGAGGGAATGAAGGTAAGGTGCATTGCCAGTTATTACTCATCGATTCTCAGCTCCAAAATCCATCCATTCTTCACTGCCCTGCGTGCAGTGCTGGAACATTTCTCCTGTGCCATTTGGCCTGGCATTAAGCTTCATCAGTTGAGGATACCGGAGGGACATTTTAGGAGAGGAGGAAAGGGCTCTATTTTCTAATTCCAGTGTGTTCATCTCAGCTGGCTCTGCAATGCACAGTGGCCAGCCATGTTTGGCATGTCTCCGTGGGCTGAATTGCAATGGTTGTTGAATTTACAGCCTTGTTAAGTTTCTCTTGTGAAGTTAAGGCATCACTTGGAAAGGAATGGGATCCCAAAACATGAAATAGGGACATCTGCTTGGGCCCAAATGAAACTGACAACCTTGAACCCAAGTCATCCTGAACCTCCCTTGGCAGTGGAAGTAGCTTGCCCTCCTGTCTGAGACTAGTTGTCATTTGCTTGAGAACCCTGTGAAACCCACACCTGGAGCAGATGACTTGAAAAATACTGCACAGGTCTGTACCTCCTGAGGGTTCGGAGTGCTTCCAGCTTTTACCTTCCTTTGTGTTCTGCCTCAACCTAGGGGTAGGTCAACCTAGAGATACTTTTAAGTGGCTGCTCCCTCTGTCTGCTATTTCTGTATTTTTAGTTTTCCTTTTCCCCTATAGGTAATTCCTTATTATGGTTAATAATTCTTTATTTTATTCCTGTTTGAGTTACTATATAGTTTCTGTCTCCTATTTGAGTCCTGTTATGGTATGCTTGTGATATCAGGGATTGGGAACAAAGGCTAGCAAGTGGCTGACCCCAGGGTCGGCCTTAAACTCCTAATTGGTTTACCTCTGATGGGGACCCGTATTCGTACTACTCTCGTTTCTCTTTAACTGAGACAGCCCTTCTAAAGTCTCAGCAGCTTTTGCTTGTTCGGTTGCCTTGCCTCTATTCTGAAACCAGCGTTTCTCAGCACATGGTTGGAAGATCATCTGCAACAGTCACTAGGGGATGCTTTTAAAAAATGAAGATGCCAGGCCCCCCATCAAGATTCTGAGTTAGTAGGTCCGGGACAGGGCACAGCAATTTGCATTTTTTACAGTGCCTTGTTTCGTTTTGTAAAAACCTCCAAGAGTTCTCTCTGCCTTTCCCAGTTGCTCGCTTTCTCTAGGTGATCCCTTTTCCACTCAACAGTTGTCTCACCCCCTGGATGGCAAAACTCATAGATCCTTCAAGTGCTTATAGCTCTTAGAAATGATTCTGGGTGAGCGACACACTGCAGCCTTTTTTTAGTTGCCGATTTCACACCAGACTCTTGCTAAACATTCCCTGTTTCAATCGTGTGCCACTTGTGGAGCACCTGCTGCTGAATCCCTGAGAAAATCCAATACGAGGAAAATAATGGCACATCACACTAATAGCTCTCAGTGAAGGTGTCACATAGAGAAATTCCTAGCCCACGTCTCACTGCCAAAGATTTAGTAGTGCCCAGCTTGAGGAAGGAGGGTGGGACAGGAACCTGCCAACTCGACAGTGTATTTCTGTGGAAGCTTTAAAGTCTTGGCTGAGTTTATGCAGTGCTGAAGGAAAGAGGATGCTTCCCCAGACTCCAGACAGGAACTCCTCCTGTTCAGTGCCCAGCACGATGGCAGGCGCTGCCAGAGATAAAATCTTCCAGGAACCACTGTGTAAACTATATGAGGTGCAATTAAAGAACAGTGTACTTGGATGTGAAATTGTGGCGAGCAGACAAAAATCTAGGACGGGAGAGATCACTGGAGGTTATAGTCATCAATGAAGGCTTTAAGGCAACCTGGGAGTTACATCAGGGTTTTTAAAGTATGTAGCATTCAGATGGCTCAAAGATACTGATAGTTACATCCCTCTAAAAAGAGTTGGCAACATTTACACATTCTTATTTTTAAATAATAGCAAATAATATTTCACATTTCCTGAGTGTCTTACATGCCAAGTGCTGCTTTACTTACATGCATACACTGATCAAATTTTCAGAACCACCTTATGATGTAGAGAGTATAAATATTAGTTTCATTAACAGGAGAAAACTGAACCATAATGCTACATGATACCACCATCCCACTGCAAATACATGGTGGAATGAAAGCCAAATTAGGAAAGACAGGACTTCCTGAAATGATACATGGAGCCATCTCCTGGGACCTCGTAGCTGGTTTCTTTCAGCGACTCCAGAAGCGAAGGGTAGGTAGCAATATAATCCTGCATGGAATATGGGAATTCTCTGTACTTTCTGCTCAGTTTTTCTGTAAACCTAAAATGACTCTTAGATATACAGAATTAAAAAAAAAAAAAAAAAGACAATAGAAAATATTTAAAGTGAAGCACAGAACAAAAAAAAACGGAAAACTCAATGGAGGCTTCTGGCACTACAGACGAATAATACAACTAAATTCTGGCTAAATTAGAACAGAGTGGCCTCAAAATCCCTATTAATGCTAGTTAGAAGTGTGCATTCTCTGCAGAAGTTTAAACATTTTTTTTGTTCTATCATATATCTGTTATCTTACAGCATACTGAATCCCTGCCTAGAAGAAATGTAAAACAAATAATTACCCAAACTCCCGTGAAATGAATTTGTAACCACTCTATACAATTTAATGCAAAGCTGGAGTCACAGAAAGTGATATATCCAAGGGCAAGAAAACAAAACCCAAGGAGAAGAAAGTGTAGGAAACTGAAATCAGAGCTAGAAGCAGTGAGCAGTAAGAACATAAGCCATCAGTGGTTGCCCCTTGCGGGAAATGCCAAATCCAGCATTAAGAGCAGGAGAGTAACTCTCGGAATCACTACGAGGTGAGGGAACTAACCCTGAGGTTCCTGCATTGAACCAGGTATCTCCAGAAGAGTGAGTGGTGCTGACTTGGTAGAGTTCTCGGGCTGCTGACAGAAGCAAAAAAATTATTTCTGAAGGACATCCCAATGTAGCCCTCGGGATTCTCCAGATTAAAACCAACCAAAGGGGACTTCAAAATGAAAATACCAAACAGAAGAAAACAAACTATTTTGAATGAGAGTCAGGAGAAATACAAACAATAGATTTAGACTCCTAAGAATTTCAGATACAAGAATCACCAGATATGTCAGATATAAGAATCACCAGCTTTGGAATATAGAACGCCAATGTGTGAAATACTTTCTTAAATTTTAAAACTGAATTTTTAAAATAAGCGAGCATTATTAAACTATCAGGAATGACCAGGCAGATTTAAATAAGAACCAACTAGAACTTTTAAAAAAGAAAAATGTAACTAAAAATAGGAATGAATAGTTTTAAACAACAGATAAGATAGAATTATTGAACTGAAATATAGAAATAAATTATGCAGTAGGCAGCTCAGAAAGACAAGAAAATAAGGTTATGAGATGGAATGGAGATGACACATAACTAGGGACTCAAATGGAGACAGAATTTTTCAGACATGACAAAAGACATGAATTCTTAGATGCAGGAAGCATGAAATAAACCTATAACAATAAATTTTTTAAATTCCATACTTACATTGTCATAACACTGAACGTCAAGTTTTCTTAAAAGTGGCCAAACATATATCACACAAAAAAATGCCATACTGACTTCTGAATGCCAGTAACGGAAGCTAGTCAGTAGAATAATCAGGTATTTCATTAACCTTAAGATGCCATCAATTCTAAATCACATCATTATGAATTAAATATAGCACCAACAAAGAGAAACAGTTGTGCCAATTAAACTATAATGTGCACCAGAAGGAAGGTCTGAGGAGCAAGGGAGGTGTGCAAAGAAATTGGTAAACGTGGCAATTTATACCAACGTGTTTATATAAAATGATGAAAACATCTAATTTATAGGGTTAAAAAAAATACTAGCCCACAAAAACACACAAGTCGGGAAAGGGTTGATCAGAATTACAATGTTCTAAAGACCATGTATTATTAAAGAAGGGATTATGACATCAGATAATTTCAGACTGAGTATGCACTGAAAAAGTTCAGGAAAAAACACAAGAAAAATATAGAGTATAAAACTTTCAAATGAGTATAGGAAGAGAAATTGAATTAAAAAAACAGTCAAGAAGGGAGAAAAAAGCATAAAAGACAGTAACATATCACTAAGTCTGTGTTTTAGGAATCATAAAAAATGTGATTGAAATAATCTTACCTATAAAAGGCAGAGATTGCCAAATTAAAAAAAAAAAAACAAAATCCAGGTTTATTTGGCTTACGAGACAAAGCTAAAATATAAACATGTAGAAAGAAAGAAGGCAATAGGATTGGAAAATACATACTACTAAATACAAAATAAAGCAGACGTAGATACATTGATACCACAAAAAGATTTTAACATAAAAAGTGCTATCAGTAAGGATGTTACTACATGACCAAAAAAAGGGTTAAGCTCATCAGAAAGACATAAGAATTCTAAACTTTATTTCACAAGATAGCCTCAAAATGTATAAAGCAAAAGTTGACAAAAACGGGAAATACAAGTCCACCATGACAGTGAGAATTCAAAACACCTCTCAATTACTGCTGGCCAGGCAGACAAAAGTTAGCCAAGATATGAGAATATTTGAACACAAGTTTGATTAAATGGACATATACAAAAAATTATAGTAATAAACGTTGTTCTAAGCATATAACCATATATGCTTACATGTACATATGGTACATTAAAACACTTGGTCATACCTAGACATAAAGTCTCATAAAATTTCTAGAAATAGGTAATAATAAAAAGTTTACATTTGTATTAGTTTTGTATAGCTGCTGTAACATTACTTCAAACTCAGTGGCTTAAAACAAGACTATTCTTTAACAGTTCTGGAAGCCAGAAGTCCAAAATCAGTTTCTAGGCCCAAATCAAGGTGTTGGCAGGGCCTGCATCCTCCAGAACCTCTATGGGAGAATTTGTTCCGTATCTCTTCCACCTTCTGGTGGCTGTATCATTCCAATTTCTGCCTCCCTGGTCACACTGGCTTCTCATCTTTTGTGTGTAATCTTTCTCACTTCTCTCTTATTAAGGATACTTGTGATGATACTTAGGGCCCATCTGGATAATCTAAGAAAATCTCATCTCAAGACCCCTAAATTAATCACATTAGCAGAAACCCTTTCTAAATATAATATTTACATATGTATATATATTTTTTATGTCAGGCTACATTCTGAGCACTTTAAAAATATTAATTTTAGTTTATAACAATCTGTGAGATAGGTACTATAAGAAGTATTCTCATTTTTCAGGTGGCAAAAATTGAGTCAGAGGAAGATTATAACTTGCCCAAGCTATACCATACATATTCTCTAACCACAGTGCAATTATTTAGAAATCAATAATGAAAGATTTATAGGAACTTTTTATTTTGAAATCATTTAAGATTTATAGGAAATTTGCAAAAGCAAGACAAAGAATATCCATACACCCGTCACCTAGATTCTCCAAATGCTAATATTTTGCCACATTTGTTTTATCATTTTCTGTATGCATTTTTTCTAAATTTTTGAGATTAAGTTGTATATAGAATATCCCATTATCCCTAAATACTCTAATGTGCATTTCCTAAAAAAGAGGACTTAAGTAACTGCAGTACAATGATCAAACTCAAGAAATTAGCATTGACACAATGCTATTATCTAATCTGTAGACTTTATTCAGTTGTAATTATCTTGAAAATGTCTTTTACAGCAACAAAAATTTTTTTTTCTTCTCTACCAGAATCCAATCCAAAATCATGTGTTACATTTACTTGTCAGATTTTTTAGTCTTTAATTTGAAGTGTTTGACAAGTTTAGGCTTGTTAACTTTGTAGAATATCCCTCATTTTAGGTGGTTCTGCTATTTCATCTTGATTAGGTTCAGGCTATACACTGTAGCAGGAATACCACATAAGAGATGTTGTATCTTCATTGACATATCAGAATGCACATAATGTAAAATTGTCTTAGTAATGGTGACATTAATACAAGTTATTTATAAAGAAATACATTTATAAAAACTTAAATTTGTGCTTTTAAAAACTTGTTTACTTTTAAAATAATATAATTCATAGGTCAAAGAAATCACAATGTAAATTTTTAAATATTAGCACTGAAAAAAAGTGTACATCTTTGTGCATACACACCCACACAAATAGATAATCCAATAAACTTAGAGCCTTAAGATGTTAATGTGAGAACAGAAAAAATATTGCACATGAATGAAATACATGTCCAATTTATGAAATAAGGAAAATAACAGAATAAACCCCCAAGGAAGCAGGATAACGTAAAAAGAAGGGAAGAGAGGAACAGCAAAGCCCAAAGTTGATTCTTTAGAAAAACTAAGAAGAAAAACTTCTGAAACAATGGTCAAAGAAAAGGTGAAAAGATATAAAAAATATTAGCAAATGAAATATTAAGTGTATATCCAGCAGTTTTAAAAAACAAAATTTGTTACTTTTTAATAACAAATTTAGAAAAAAAATGAGTAAATGCTCAGAATATTATTATTATTTTTTTTTTTTCAAAATTGACTCAAGTTAAAATAGAAACCCTGAGTGGTCTTATTATCATTAAATACCTTCCCACAAATAAATGCTAGGGCCAGATGGTTTTTATAAACTTTCAAGAAAAAGACTGTCCTAATCTTTTACAGATTCTTCCAGAGAGTAGTAAAATAGGCAACACTCCGCAGCACATTTAATAAAGTTATAATCTTGGTTTGCAAACCAGACAAGTATGAGAAATACTGCAAGCCAATTTCCTAAATATAGGTGTAAAAATTTCAAATAAAATACCAGCAAGTAACTGAATTCAGCAGTGTCGAAAGAGTGAAATATGACCAAGAATGCAAAGGTGATTTAATACTAGAAAATCACAACTAAACTAAGGCAAGGTCTCTGAAATCTTTGGGAAACAGATCACCTAGTGTATACTTCAATACGTATGTACTCCTGCCTGTTCTTGGAGCACCCCAGGTTATGCTCTCTCCTTGGGCTCTGCACAGGCTGGTCTGCCTGAAATGCGCTTTGCTCAGATAACTGAAAGGCTCGCTCAAGACTTGTCGAAGGCCACTTCCCACCAAGGCCTGCTCTGAGTCTATTATTTAAAATCACAAGCCCCCCACTCCCGCCCCCACACGCACTGATTCCCCATTCTCCTTAACCCGCTTCATTTTTTTCCCATAGCACATGGCACTTATTATCCATCTTCTTTTGCTTATTTTCTGTCTTCTGCCTTTGCTCCCTCCCCTCCTCCCAGCTCAAATGTAAGCAGTATTGGGGCAAGAATTTTTATCTGCCTTATTCACTGCAGTTTCTCCAGCACCTAGAAGAGTAAACCAACCACTCCCCCTCTCTACCAACTCTCCACCAATAACCACCACCACCACAACCAACCAAGCACTGTGTGCGAGCAAATGAAATATTGTCCAGGTCACTGTGGTTTCACCATTTCAACAAAATGAGAGAAAAAGGCAATGTGTTTTTCATAAAGCTAAATTTATTCAATTTAAATGATTATTCCTTATTCTGAGATTATGTTCTTCCTACTTTTTACATGCTAAAATATCTTTATATAATGATGGTAATTTGGTTTTTCTGTTTTTGTTCTGTCCTTAGCTGACAAAATTATAAGCTAAAAACACTTAAATACTCCAATTAAATTTTTTTTTTTTTTTTTTGCAAATTTACTGGTGCTTAAAACTCCAAGCCTTGGAATCACAACCGAGGAAAGTCCTACCTTCTAGGCTATATGCTTCACAATATTGAATTATTGCTTGGCAATTTCCCCAAACAAGTTATGTAGTAGGATAAAAGTTAAGTATTAATTTATATTAAGCCAGTGTAAAAATGGCCTTAATTTCAAGCACCAAAGAAATATATTTTCAATCAAGACAATTGTTATATGATCTTTCTTTAAACTAATTATATCAATATCGATAGGGAAGCAATTTAAAACTTCTCTGACATCATCACTAGGAGTAACCTGTTCTAACATGTGTAAGCAGTTATTAGTGCGGTGCAGAAGAAACCAAAACGACTGGGGTCCAAGCAGGCCACTTTCCAGGGTCAGGGTTTTAGTGGTACCATAGGTGGTTGTCTGTACATTTTGGCCCGTTTACCTTTACAAATCATACGATAGCATTCAGTATTTACGTACATAAACTGAGAAGAAATACGTATTAGAAGAAAGCATATTTTCGAGGGCTTCATGTGTCAAAAAACTCCATATTTCATGAATTATTTTTATGTCATTAGCTACCTCTGAGAAAGAACAGTTCCATAGAAATGTACAAACTGGGACATGCTTTTAGAAAACCTTACAAAGAGCTATGCAGATTGTCCTCTCATAAGTGAATCAAGCAATCAATCTCTACTCCCTCAAAGTGTTAAAAACAAGAAAAAGAGTAGCTGGCCATGCCCTTTCAAAGTATGTTTCAGGGAAAATACAACTATCATCATGGCATTTTGGGCCAGAGGACATTGTTGAGAAGTACATCTGATTCTACCATTCTGTCATTTGTTATACTCATGCTCCTTCCTATTAAGCTATTCTTGCTAATATTAGTTCTGTATCCAGTTGATATGAGCATTTATGATAAATTTCAAAATAGTTGGTGGTAGCATTCAGATATATGTCAGTAGCTCTTGAAAGAAACTTCTGCTTTCGTCCCCATTATGACCATATTTAACTATTAAAATGACAACTGAATGTCCTGGAGCTGGGTGGGTGACTTGCAGTGAATGTGCACAAGCTGGAGCTTCTGGCCAAGTTACTCAGTATAATCATCAAGGCTTAGTTCTTCTTGGCACGCTTCCGACAGTAAGCCCGGACAGACTTGTTATGATTCATAGCGATTTTTAAATATAACCAAGAAGGCAGAATTGAAACTATTGAGCCCTAGGGAAAAAATGGGGAGATAAATATAATTAGAGCCTACAATTTGAGCTAAATTAAAGCATATGATCTTATGTTTTACTATAATATTGTTTTATTTATAGACAGATAATAAAATCTATTTTTTTTAAATTTATAGGTAGATTTTAAAGTTCTTGGATGTTTAAAATAAAACACAGGAGTCATTAGCAGAGACAGAGACAGAGAGAGAGAGAGAGAGAGAGAGAGAGAGATGTAAATCTAGACTCTCTCTATATATAAATACATATATCACATACTATTTTGTGACTCAATGAGAAAGAAAATCTTCAACCCAAGTTTGGGACTTAAACATCTACCTACCGTAAGAGAATGGACGAAGTATCCATTGGTTCGGGATGTCAAGCCCACTGTTTTCATCGCAGACTTCACAAACGTATCTGAAGAGGGTACTTGCAAAGTTGGCTTTCGGATTCCACTCATATTTGTAGCGACAAAGAATGGCAGGACACTCTGGAAAAGCAACAACCCCCCACCCCCCAAAATGCCATTGATTAGGAAGGCCACAAACTCAGAATTCACAGTGATGCTTGATTGTTCTGAGTGGCAGAAACATACTGATGAAATATAAAGTTTGTATCTTTAGAGAGAGAAAAAAAGAGAAGCATTATCTAAAGCCAGGCTTGACAGAACATGACAGCATAAAACAAACTGAAATAAATCTCTCAATAAAACAAGGTGAGACTAGAGAAAGTATTAAAAATAAGCAGAAATATACCTTTTTGAACCTTTAGGAAGGCGGCGTTACACAAATCTAGAGAGCAGAGATTCAGAATAGGATACGCTTTCTACTCTGACTAAACTGAACATTTACAGAAGTACCAGGTAGGAGATTTTTGACATCTTCCTAAAGAGATAATACTAATTTTCTGCCTAATTTATCCCTTTTTCTCTTTCGTCTTTGTGGGAGAAACAGTATAACAATATGGAAACAGCTTACGTAACTAAAAGACACTTGACGGAGCTGGTGTGAGATGACAAATCTGAACACTATCTTCTAGAGGAACTTAACTAGCGTTAGGTTCTCTATTGCATATGCTCGAGACATTCTGGATACACTTCAATACAACACAAGGAAATCCTACTACAATGAGCTCTGAGTCATGATTTAAGAGGTTCCTTCCATAGTATGAAATAACTTGGGTACGGCTGTTCACCAACGATGAGTCTGTTCTGTTTATCACACATGTGTGAAAGGAAAGGGTATCAATTATAATGATAGTTCTATTAAAGAAGAGAATCTATTCCAGCACATGGTGGTCAAAACTAAAAACTTCATTACTGAAGGTAGAAATAAAA